CTCCAAGGAATGGCCCCATATCACAAACTCAATGTTAATATCTGCTGCTGGCAGATTGGGTGCTCAGCTGTGGCTGTAACCAAGTCAGCTTTGGTTTTGCTGAGCCAATTCAAAACCCCCATCCCTGCAACCATGGCCACTTTGGTCACAAGCCAATTGGATAATGACAGAAGAGGCTGGGGAAAGAAGGTGATCAGTTTCCACAGAATATGTCATGCTATCAACTTGATTGCTAAAATCCTACTCTGTTGAGGTAACTCTTTAGTAAGCATTCACTTAAGACAAAAATATCATTTTTGGTCTGTTCAGAGAGGTCTATCTATTTACCTCTACCTTATACCTCCTAATCACCAATTTTCCAATCATGTTTCTTCAAAGTCCCTGGCACCTAGCCAAACAATTGGGCATAGCCCATGAATCAGTATACGGTTGCACATCTGGTCATTTCTCCTTCCAAGCAAAATGAACAAAGGCAAGTCCACCCACGAGGGACCATAATGCTGAGGCTTTCTACTTTTGAGTGGTGCTTGCAAATTGTGCAGAACCATCTGTAAACCAAGCCTGAGCTTTCTTTGACTCAGTCAATTGATCATAAGGAACTCCCCATGAGGCTTTAGATGCAGACTGGAAGAGGGAAGATAATATGACAGAGAGAAGACCATGGGAATGTGGGCCATTTCCTCATGAAGTTTACTTGTGCCTTCAGGTCCTGCTCAAGCCATGCCCAACTTTGTGACTGTGGGTCAGACAACACCCAGTTCATGCAGAAAACCTCAGGTTGCCTGGTAAATTGGTGCCCTATGGTTAGGCTTCAGGCTCTACTAAAGTCCACCAATAAGCCAAAAGCTGTTTCTTAAGAGTAGTTATCTGCTGGGGATGACAGGGGTTTGCTCCAAAATCCTAATGGTCTGTATTGTGATTCACCAAAAGGGACTTGCCAATGACACCCAAACTACATCTCTATGTACCACTGACACTTAAACAACATTGGATAAGCTGAGTCATATGGCCCAAGTGGTGAAGCTGCTTGCACTGCAGCTTAAACCTGTTGCAGAGCTTTCTCTTGTTTGGGGCCCCACTCAAAACTAGTAGCTTTTTAAGACACTTAATAAATGGGCCAGAATAGAACACCCAAATAAGGGATATGGTGAGTACAAAATCTAAAGAGGCTCATGAGGCATTGTGGCTCCTCTTCAGTTGTCGGAGGAGTCACATGTAAGTCATTATGTGCCGTGGAGTAGGTTCAGACTCATAGTGACCCTGTACAGGGTTTCCAAGGCTGTAAATCTTATGGGAGCAGAAAGCCTCATCTTTCTCCCACAGAACAGCTGGTAGTTTCGAGCTCCTGACCTTGTGATTCACAGCCTGATTCGTAACCCGAGCCCCTTCACATGTAAGTAGCTATTCCTCATTTATCCGACATGTTAATACGAATATCTCAACAGGCTCCACACTACTGAACCCTCAGAAATTTCACTGAGGTGGAAGGCACCTGAAATTTTGTTAGAATACTTTTCCATCATCAAGCATGCATATGTTTTACCACTAAGTCTAGAGTCATTAACACTTCTTCCTTACTGGGTCCAATGAACACACTGTCATCATTGTAAAGGGTCAGGGTGATGTCTGGTGGCAGGGAAAGATGACCAAGTTCTGAGGACTAAATTATAACATAGTGCTGAAGAGTAAATATACCTTTGAGGAAGGGCAAACAGTACAGTTAAAGGTAAACTGTTTCTAGGGATGCTTCAGAACCGAAATTGAGAAAAAGGCTTTGGCTAGGTTAATAGCTGCATATCAGGTAGAAGGAGATGTATTAATTTGCTCAAGCAATGAAACCATATCTGAAACAGCAGCTGCAGTTTGAATCATCACCTAGTTAAATTTATGGTACTATGCTATAATTCTTCAAAATCCTTTTTTTTTTTTTGCATATAGGCAAGTTAAATGGAGATGTGGAGGTAATCACCTACTCTGCATTCTTAAAGTTCTTGATTGTAGCACTAAACACTGCAATCTCTCCAGGAATGCAATATTTCTTTGGTTTACTATTTTCCTAAGTGGAGACAGTTCTACTGGCTTCCAGTTTGCTTTTCCTAATAGCCCCTATTCCACTTGGCAGGGATGCAATGTGGATTTCTGCCAGTTTCTTAGTATATTTAGAGTCTGCTCATACATTCTAGAACTGGAAACTCACTACAGGATGAGTTCAGGGTCCCACTGGACCCATTGTGAGGTAGACCTTAGCTAAGACTCCATTAATAACTTGACTTCCAGATGCCCCCATTCTTACTGATGGGCCACAGTGATGTCTAGGGTCTCCTAGAATTAGTGTCAGTTGAGAACCAGTGTCTAGTAATCCCTGAAAACTCGGATTTCCTCTTTCCCAATAGACAGTCACTCGAGTAAAAGGCTGCAAATCCCTTTGGGAAGGCAGGCAGGAAGACTAGCAGCAAAAATTTTTGGTAGCGTAGTACAGTCCTTCCTCAAGGAGACCCAGCCTCTCCGTCCTTCAAGGCAGTGCAGGTCTATCAACTGGCTCAAGTCTGAGAATTGATTGAAATCTCGTGACTCTCAAGATCAAATGAATGATGTTCCATGTTAGACTGGCACCATTCACTTGATCTTGAATTCTTCCGCTTGTATAGATCAAGTAAATACTTAGTAGGGTTCCATTCAATGTCACTCCTAAAGACACCCTAAGTTGTTGTTGAAAGGTACCATCAAATCAGTTCAGATTCATAGCAACCCTGTGTAGGATTTCCAAGGAGCAGCTGTGTGTTTGAACTGCTGACCTTGTGGTTAGCACAGCACCATACCATGACCCCTGCCTAAGTAGTCAATACCATAAATCCACAGGAGTCAGACTATTTGAATTACTACTTTGATTCTGCTGTCCATTATGGGCACCCACCTTATCTTTGTAGATTAAGTGTTTCCACTTGGCCCCTACCAACACAGGGTCTAATCAGTCTCACTGTAGTTAGATGTCTTAATTCAATTATGGCAATTTCCACGGTCAGATCTGACTTACATGAAATAACAATCACTGCAAGATTGCTCAAGGATGTTTGGGCTTCCTTCACCAATTGGTTCCTCACTGTTGTGGTAAATGGTGTGTCCTCCAGGCACTCCATGTGTGGATTTATGCATCTATCCTGATTGAGCCACTCTAACATGCCAACTTCCAGAAGCTTTTGGATACCTTCCACTACAGAATGCCAAGGCAGGCATGGTACCTCAACTTGATGTATTCTTGGCCACCACACAATCCTTGATTCAGTGAATCAACCACATAATCCATTAGATCCTAACCTCTTAAGCTAAAACACTGAAAGAAGAATCTGAGTTTAGTGGGCCCATATTAATAAATTCAGACTGATCAGCCTTATGTTCCTTGCACCATTATTCCACATCCTTAATAGCCATTCCCACACATATTCTCCAGGTTTGTTTGTTTGTACATATCAGAAAAATCAAGAAGTCCTTTTGGGATGTAGTTTACTTCTTCCTGAGTTATACAATTTGTTCTGGCCTCATGAATTTCTGAACGAGTATTTTAAGGAAGTTTTACATGGGCACATGACTCCAGTCTTCCAGGACATGGGGTCCAGGATGTGGACAGGTAGATTGTGAGACCAAGTCTCTTCACCCAGGAAAGTCTCTGCATCTAGGGCAGCTTCATATCTAACTTTGTTCTGGCAGAGATGCTGGGCATGCTGTTTTCACTCTGGGTTCCTTATTTTTCCAATACTTTCTAATGAATCCCACTGTACCTCACACTTGTCACTAATATGTGACCTACAGGTGGTAATGCTGTGTGTGTTAACACTGCCACCTCATGCCATGCATTAGCTGCAGCCTGTTGACTAATGAGAGCAGAGTTATCAGTGCCTGTAAAATTAGTCAGACTTGAGAATCAATTTAGAAAACCCATCATTTCTGTTTTGTTTTTCTAAAACCACTCTTGGTACCAAGTGTCTTGGCCTGTATTCTCTAGAGAAGCAAAGGCAACCTAGTTTATATATGTATGTATCTAGAGAGAGATTTCTATGAAGGAAATGGCTCACACAGTTATAGAGGTGAGCAAGTTCCAAGTCTGTTGGCCAGATGGCAGGCTGGAGGCTTCTGACGTAGCTGATGTAGTTGCAGGGCTGATGAATCAAGGCGAGACGGCATGCAAGCAGGTCAGGCCGGTCAGGCAGGTCAGATGGCCGACTGCGGGCAGCTTCCAGGATCAACAGGCAATAGAGCAGGCCACTGGCTCAAGTCCAAAGAACCAGAGGTAGACTATGTGGAGCCAAATGCAGATTTCAGATCCAGCATAAAAAGCAAACTTTGCCTGAGTGTTCAATATATTGGAAGCAGGTGACAATCCCTAGGCAACTTCCTTTCAATTGATTGGCTGCTCACAACAGATCTCATTATGAAGGATTACTATGTCTTAACTGAAAAACCACTGAGAATCTTGGCTCATTCCTTTGGCACAAAACCTTATGTCTTAACACCTCATCCACAGCAAAATGAATGTTGCCCAGTTTTGCACTATCCCCACAACGGATTCTGGATCAAATCATTGTGATCCATAAGGTTTTCATTAGCTGACCTTGGGTACTAGATCACCAGACTTTTGTTCTTAGTCAGTCTTGGTCTGGAAGCTCCTCTGGAACCTGTTTACCATCGCAGCAATACACAAGCCTCCACTGACAAATAGCTGGTGGCTGTGCATAAGGGATATTGGCTAGGAGTCAAACCCTGGTCTGTTGCATGGATGGTGGCAATTCTACCGCGGAGCCACTTATGGCTATTGTGCCTGGTTGGCCCACAAATTAAGACTTTCAATCTGCTTAGAGCTGCTGTATATCCGCCAAACTTGTGCTGAAGCCCTGAATTAAACTTTTAGGGTGATAGTCTAACCAACCATACCTTTACATTTCTAGATGTTTTGATCAAAGTTTCCTTTTTCAGTTAGTACTGAAGTCAAAAGTTGTTAAAGCAATGAGATTCTGCATCTTTTAATGAAAGATAAAACAATATAAACTTACACAAATATACAGAGAAGGGATCAACTTTAATACAGAGTAAAAGGTGTTTCTTATTTAAATATGGTATAAAAATAAATGCAAGAAACATTAACTGAGAATGTACAGACAACAGACAAAGACATGAGCGTGTACTGACTGAATACATTGGTGAAACGAAACTTTCTGTGTTAATGTATTATTTAGTTATGTGACGTCATATGCATATTAATATGTTTTTGTTTTTATTTTGCAATTCACCCAGTTTGTGACTGACTGAATTTTTACTGAAATCTGTGTCTAGCAGAAGCTCTAAAAGAGGAAATTTTTTAAAAAAGAAAAAGGTTTTACTTCACTTCAACTTATTAAAAAGGAAAAGACACTGATCCAGTTTAGTACAAGAAGGAAGAAGACAGACAATGTTTGGAATGGAGGCATTGGAATGATGGTCAAGAGTCCCATGGAGATGGCAGTGTATACACAAATGTGTACACAGAAAAGAACAAGTCAGGTCTTTTGCTCATGCAACACCTGGGTCTAACGTCTTCTGCTCCAGTTAAACGTGAGCTACAAAATGTGTGCAACAACTCCAGTCTGCTTTCATGCTACAGGGTGATCCGTTTAGTAAGACTGAACGAGGCTCGTTAACCTCTTTGATGTGAGAGATTTCCCCTAAGGAAAGATAAAGCACAAGAAACAAACAATAAAAAAAAACAGAATATAAAGTATGACCACTGAAAACTTACTTTCTAATAACATATATTTATCACAACTGTAATTTTTACAAGGGTCCAAACTGAACCCTTTATGTAAATCTAAGTTCTAACCTCATGACCAGCGCTCCCCCCCTCACTCCCTCCCTCTACCAACACATCAAACAATATTACTCCCAGCCTGCCTTCCACCCTCACACCCCCTTCCTCCCCACTGCAAACAGACTGATGGTTTCACAGCACAGATTAGCAAATCATCAAACATGTCCAGAAACGCTCCACTGAGGCTTAGCAAAATGCAACACCTAGGTTTGTAACTGGTTATAAACACGAGCTACAACAAATCTTAGTAAGCTACTGTGAGAGCTAGCACTGTGGATGCGCCATTGTTCAATAGCTGAAATCAGTGTTGCCTTTATAAATATCTAGATTTATGGGAGGTGTGAGTTAATTATATAAAATGTATTGTATGTGTGTGTGTGACTGGCAGAAATTCAAGACCATCCTATCTTATGTAGTGATGGAGAAAAGAGCTCCAAGTATACTTGTAAAACGAAACGTCTCTTTGGTCTATATTTTCAGACTGTAGCAACTTCCTTGTCATTTTCCAACTTACTTATTCCAACATCAACCCCAGAAAAACCCTATCTACTAGGACTTTGCAAGTTGTGTTGTGGATTCCTGATGTGGTGCTGCAGGATAAGCACTGGATTTAGAACCACAAGGCAGCGGTTGAAACCCAGCAGCCTTCCCTTAGAACTGACTCAATGGCACAGAACAACAATACATGCTGTGTTAATACTCAAAATGCATATTCACTTATTGATTTTGGAAAGCTTTCAAGTCAACATTACAACTACTCTAGAGAGATAAGATACTTATAATTTCTGGTCAGAATAGCAGATTATTAACTATTATATCTCCTACTTTATAAGCTCTTTATATAAACAGATAGTCCACTTATTGAATCAAATTTGACTTTCTCAGATCAAACATATGGAAATTTCACAAGTGTTCTTGTGAGTCACCAGCAGCTCCTTGGAAAACCCAATACGGGGTCACTATGAGTCAGAAAGGACTCAATAACTCTTAACAAAAATAACAAAAGTTTTGTAATATCTTACAGCCATAGCCATACCTAATGTGGCTCAGAGTCTGATAAAGGGGTAGTGAGGTGTTAAGAGAGAAACTGTCAAGTGTGGCCATGTTTTGGGAAAAGAACAAAATGTGTGCGGAATTATCAAGAACTCCAAAACAAGTTTTCCTTTCATAATAATGGATAAGGGTCCTTCTGCTGACAAGAAAGAGCAGCAATGAACACCAAGTGCCATTCTCTTTTAATTGGGAAAAAGTGTTCACAACTTATTTTGATCAAATAGAGTGAAAGAAGACAAGTTTTAAGAAAGGTATTTCCATGGGGCTACCTTTTATTTACTTTATGGTAGTAAAAATGACACAAGAAAAAGCAGTTTGTGAAGAAAGAGGCCTTTCTTTGCAGTCTACATTAGCCTGATGAAATACGCATTTTTTGCAACCTCATTTTCCTCAGCCACAAAACGGGGATAATAACAGTAGCTGTTTTAAATGCGTGTTTTGAAAAAGACTACATGTAAATTGCCTAAGACTACTGTTGGCACATTCTGTGTACTCAGTTTACAGTGGTTGTTGCTATTATTATGAATTCTCCTCATCAGGACACCCAGACCCAAAGTCATTAATATGACTCTGAGAAAGGCAGCTAATTGCTAATCAATTGCAACTCTATAATTATCCTGCTTTTTCAGGCCAACCTCTGGCAAAAGGTTAATACAGTATAATGTGGGAATCAAATAACTACTTGTATATAGTTGAAGACTATGTTATTTCCTATATGAGGAGGCTTCAAAAACTTCACATAAAAATTCTTATTTTTATTTCCATTTTTTCCATCAACACTTGAAGCCCCCTTGTACTTACTACTGTCTTGTTCTAGGCTTGTAATATAAAGGAATGCACAGTGTACACATAAATTTATTCTAAATCTCGATCATTTATCTTTAGAAAAATGCTTACTTTGTCCAATGTCCTTTGTGGAATGGAAGGAAGTATATATATTGGTGATGAATTCTTACATGGTAGAGAACAATGGGAAAGATCCTAATATAAAATTGTTTCTATTAAAACTCCAGATGAGTGTGACTTGGTTCAAAATACAGGGATAAAGAGTAAACTAGTCATGTTAAAAGAGGACTCCATCTACAACTGAAAAACAAAACAAACTTTTTTTTGATGGAGGAAACTACTGTAAATTTAATAAAAAGTAACACAGTTCATGCTCTGCATCTTTTGGGAAAATATCCTTAAAGTTACTACTAGTACTTGGTCTAGCATGAACTTCATTAAGACGGATAAGGTACAAGTTTGGATTGATGAGTTTATATACCAGGAGATATTTAAAAACCTATTCATAGAGAAATATGTCCATAGAGACTGTATGCCTATGGGAAAACTGAATTAACAGCATGAAAACTTTCACGTATGCATTGTAATAGAAAATGAGACAAATAGAATTGGGAAAATACATGTATGTATCTTAATATAACAAAAAATTAAATTCTTGGATGTTGTTGTTATGTGCCATGGAGTTGGTTCCAACTCATAGCAACCCTGTACAGGGTTTCTAAGGCTGTAAATCTTTACCGGCGCAGAAAACCTCAGCTTTCTCCCATGGAACAGCTGGTAGTTTCGAACTGGGCTGACCCTGAGGTTAACAGCCCAATTTGTAACCACTACGCTACCAGAGTTCTTCTCTTGGATGATGTTGTTGCTGTTAAGTGCCATCAAGTCAGTTCCAACCCATAGCGACCTGTATAGGGTTTCCAAGGAGACGCTGGTGAGCTTGAACCGCCAACCTTGCAGTTCAGATGGCTTTGCAGTCTGGCGCATTAACCCACAGCGCCACACCGGGACTTCTTGTCTTGGATGATAGTGACGTGAAATTTTGTAATAATGGATACTTGTTTTCTGTATTGGAGACCATTAAATTTGGGTACAACAATATAAAACTAATTTAAGTGGCCCTTTGGGATCAAAACAAAAATCAAAGCATGAATATCAAATATGTATTCTTGACGTGAAGCTCTAGATCACTTGGATTGATACCAGGGAGTTGGCAAACAGAAGTTCACTTAGCTCTATGGGAACAAAGGATACGCGAAGCATGTAGAAATCCTGCCTTGTTCACCTACCAGAAGACAAATTTGTTAAGGAGTGACTGGTGAGTGTGAACTGCTGACCGTGTGGTTCAAGTCTACTTTGCGAGCCTGAGCTTATCCTACAGCACCACGTCAGGAGAAGAAAAAATACACAGGTGCTATTCCCTACACATACAGAAACGATGGAGTGAGTATGATAGGAAAGTCTCAAATTTAAATGCTCTCCTCTTGTCCGTAAGAAAAAAACCACATTTGCGTAACAGCTGCTTTGCAACGTTCATTTTCAGCGCAGTTTCTTGGAAATTGTAAGGGGAGAATAATAGTTCCTGCCAATTGTCTTTCCATAACTTTTATAAATTGAAGAATCTAATAAATTTTTATAGGTAAACTCTAAATTCCTGATTCGAAATAGTTTTTTAGAAGATAGCTTAAAAATAACAATAATAATGAAAAAGCAAAACAAAACAAAAATCTTTACTAATAGCAATTTCTACCAAATTTTTCTATAATTGAATTCTGTACGAATAATACTTTTAATTAAACAATTGCTTATATGCTATGGAACTTATGCCCTTTTCTGTCAAATTTTAGAGGAAATAGCTTCCAACATTAACAGAAAACCATAGACAAGTACAGAAACACGAAACAAAACAAAAACTCAAGAGGTAATGAGATTTTGTTAATTAGCCATATACTTGAATAAGGAGCATATAGTGATTTGTGCTTTGAGGAAAAACAAATTCAAGTGGATAGAGAACACCATCCTAACGTACAATGCAATAACCTTGTGGGCAAAAAGAGTAGTGTCTTATAATAAGACTTAATTTTCACCATCTAATTCCTTCTTATCATAAACACTGTCTTGTTATAATTAGGAAAATGTCAGACAAAAACATGTGTGCTTCTTCTTTGCTTTTCCAATGTAATGATAGTATGAATCTTATCGGATTTTTCAAACCATTCTTGGTGTTACAGTAACATGAAGTTGATAATAATGAGCAGTGAATTGGTAAAAATGTATATGATGGCTAGGCCAGGCACTTAGCTACAGCCTGAGACCAGGGCGTTAGGGAGATGGAAGTAAGTCTCCACACTCCTTCATTTGTCATAGTGCTCTGGAGACTGGCAAAGACTGCTGTGGGGTTTTGCCATCTGAAAACCAGATGAGCTTATTCAAGCCAAACGAATGCACCTTTCTCTACTTCCTTTCTGGGTTAGTTGGGGGGGAAATGAAACTTTGAGTGACATTGATGTAATAATATTACCCCACCCACTGCTGTCTCTAGTCAATTCTGACTCATGGAGACCTACACTAGGGCAGAGAAGACTGCTCCCTATTGTTTCTGAGGATGTGAATCTCTATGAAACGCAGACAGCCTCATCTTTCTCCTTCAGAGTGTTTGTAGGGTTCGAATTGCTGACCTCTTTGTTAGGAGCTCGATGCTTAACCCACTTGCCATTAGGATTTCTAATGTAATAATACCTTCTAGGAATTCAACAGTTATCAGTGATTTCAATTATTCTGTATGGTTCTAGAATGTAAAGCTAGAATACTTGGAAGCAAGAGAAAAAGTAGATTCAGAAAATAAGGAATTTTTAAATAATGGAACAGACTGCCTTTGAGGTCTAAAGGTATATTTCCAGAACTTATGAGCCAGCAAAAGTGGGATGCCCACTTGTCATTTAATTTACAGAATTGTTTCTGATGACTGGGCCTCGGGGAATAGAGACCTTGTGGTTAGCAGTCCAGTGGTTAGCAGCACAG